AGTGTTGCTCAATGGGTGGCAGAATGAGTCTGAATGTGACAGACTAGCTTGGGTCCTCACCCGAGAGCTGGCAGAAGCCAGGCTAGATGTTTCGAGGTGGCTAATTTAATTTAAAGAATAGATGGATGCACGCAGGACTTCCGAAGACATGGGGAGAGGGGGTACCACACTCCAAAGCCATGGGCACAGGAAGGAGACAGGGTTAATGCTGGGTCGCCATGCTGACACCAGACAAGGAGACTAGAGCTGGGTGGTAATGTCAGCAGCACGGCTCCTATCCTAGGTGACAAGCTGTCTGCCAGGCACCACTCGGAATCACCTCCTCAGCATCAGATGGCGCCTGTGTTAGAACAGCCAGAGGACAGGGCTCCTGTGTCCACATCTCCCTTTTGTACTTTAGGAAACGGAGGCACAGAGGGGATGAGCATAATTTGCTCAAGGCAGTAAAGGGTTCAAACCCAGGCTGCCTTGGGAATTGGGCTGGAAGGATATATATATATATATATATATTTTCCCCACCTCTCTCTGGCCCTTCATCCCATGACTGCCTACTCTCCTCTTCCCCTCTTGGAGCTGAGGAGGCCTAGTCCCAGGACTTACAATGAGTCAGCAAAACGGCCAGAGCAGAGCTCAGGCCTGGTCACAGCACTAGGCCCAGGGCTTTCCTTACCCCATTGCACTCTGGGAGAAAGAATACATACGCAGGGTGGAAAAGACCAAGGAGACAGGAAGCTTGGCCCCCTGGTAAGCTGGGCCTCTGTAAAGCTCTCTCCTGCCTCCCTCTCAGTTAACAGGCCATTAAAAAAGAGCATGTTCTTGGCAGAGGCCTGTCAGCCAGAAAATCAATAACAGCCACGCTGTACGCACTGGCTGGGCAGGGACAAGCCCTGGCAGTGTGCGAGGCTGTGTTCTAAAGTCGCTTGGAGTAGAATTGCAAACATCAAACGCCGTGGGTGTGGGTGTGGTGGGGCAGGCAGGTGCTCAGGGGCGCGTGTGCTGACGTAGGTGTGGGCTCCCTGCGTTGGCCGGCGAGCCAACACTGGTTCCGCCGCTCACTAACCAACAGGACGGCTAATTATTTCTTCAGATATCCTGTTCCTTTTCTGGTCCTTGAGGTCCCTATGGGTCCTCAGGAAGGATGGTGGTAGCCTCCCAATATATCTTTATCTACCTGGTAAATACACAGATGGTTCCCGGGTACTAACAGCGAGTTTGTTCTTGTTAACAGCAGTCACAGTGGTGGCCATGGTATGGGCACACGGGAAGGTCTTAGTAATGATAAATGGTAAACACTCTTCGAGACCTGGGTTCGAATCCCAGCCCTCCTGCGGGGTAGCAGCACGGTCGCAAACTAGGAAGTCTTTTCGTCACTCTGAGCCTCAGTGTTCCCATCTGTCCAAGGGGAATTGTGACGGTTCCTGTCGAGCAGGGCTGATGGGAAGATGTGGTAAATGCAGACGATATATCCAGAGTGCCTGTAAAACAGAGTTAATAGCGCATCCCGCCGACTGAACTCACCACTCCGCCCTGGTTCTGTTTTAATTATGTTAAATTAATTATAATCCAGAGGCTTCCAGATCGCCCACACCCGGTAGTCTCTTCTCCATCCTCATTTGATGGTACTTCTTAACAAGAGGAGTCTGGCAGTCACAGGCTGAGATCTCAGCCTTAGCGATCCTGAGGTTCGGGGAGTACCCCAGAGCCCGATGTCTCTGTCTGTGAGACTGGAAACGAACACAAAAGATAAAGCTCTCCAGGTGCAGCTAACTTGTGGCCCCAGTCTTTCTCCCATGAAAGGGGTTTGAGAACTAAGACCCGGGGGCTCCCTACAAAAGCAAAGGGAAGTCAGGGAACAGAGCCAAGAACAGCTACTCCACGACTAAGAACTTGTCCCCCCCCCCCCCCCCCGCAAGCAGTTCAGGCCAGACCTTTGCTCAACTTCCAACTAGGCTGGCTTACTCACAGTAGTTTTTTTTAAGGAGCGTGGGTAGGTTTGTAACACCACCCCTGCCCATTTTACAGATAGTGAAACTGAGTCCTAGGAAAGCTAACTCACCCAGCTCAACCAGCCACCTGCTTCTTCTCTGGCAGTACCTAATACTTAAATCCAGGCCTGCCTGGAGACTCATTGGCTGACTCTAGCCGGAACTGTGAACCTGTTTAGACACCCCACCCCCAACCTCTGGTCTCTGCTTCAGTGCTGGTCTCTCAAAGGGGTTAGGTCAGATTTGCCTCGTCATCTGCTTCCGGCTGTCTGGGGAGTGGAGGAAAAGCTATTTGGAGTTTTGGATGATGACAGATGAGCCAAAATCATGAGTAAGCGTCCTCCTGGTGCAGGGCTTGGAGCCTTCCCTAGTCTGTGCAGTTCACAGATCTGAGGCATGGCCCTTCAGGGCTACTGGGCCAGGCTCTGGCTGGGGGAAGCCTGGAAAGTCTTGTCCCCAGGGCCTCTGCTGTCCCTGGGAACAGCGCCTTTCTTTGATGGATCGGATCCTTCCCCCAACAACCGCGTTGTCCTCCCTCAGCCATAGCTCTCAGGCACGTGATAAACATCACAGCTGTCGTGGGATGGCAGAGGCGGTCTCTCCGTATGGACAGCCATCTTCCCTTCCTTCTGTGCACAAAGATAAGACATCGATGGTGTAAAATGTGAACCAGAAAGCAAGCTAATAAAGTCACACTTTATTATATAATAAATAATTACATGTTATATATACCTAATTTAATATTACTCATCATAATTATGTTTACGTTAATAAATAATACTATATATAAACAATAACAAAATATATTTGTAGTAATCTATAAGTGTATTAATAGACGACAATATAAATAAATTATATAATAAAGCATAATAAGTTATACTTGCTGGTATAACGTCAAACACAGTAAGACAGGCACGCATGCAAATGACATGCAAATAATATGCAAACGAAGCACGCGGCTGACCCACCTCTTTTAAACTCTATTGTCCCCTACCGCGAGCCCTCATTACACATTTCCTTCCTGGGAATTTTGGTCTTTCCTGCTCAGAGGCCCCCTCCCTCCCCGCAGCCTGCACTTCAAAGCATGGGCAGGATCCATTCACTTCTAAGGATCCCTTTTTCCCTAAACATCGACAAGGTTCCCCGGTGCAGCTTGTGAGGACCACGTGACTCACTCCGTCGCATCTCCCAGCGCTCCAGTAAGGCCTTTTCCACGACATTTAGGGAAGAATACACGGAGGGACAGAGAAGGGTAGAACCCAGTCAGGAAGTGTCTAAGCAAGGATTGACATCTGCCTCTCGGGACTCTGCCACCCTCTGCCTCCAAATCTCTGCTCCATGACTTGTGGGGTGTTTGACCTCAGGCACGTCACTGGATCAGGCGTGTTCGTGTGAAGTGGTCGCAGATTTACGGAGCCTCTCTGAATTTCAGTTTCTCTATCCACTCAGTGCTGGCAATAAAGTCCCTGCTTAAAGGAGGTGCCGTAAGTAAGTTGCTGAGAACAGAGCCTAACACTGGGCCTAGCCTACGCGGGTGTCCCTTGGCTTACTATGGGACCAGGGTCCCACAGATCCCGTCTAAAATCCAAAGTATCCCAAGTCGGAAATGCAGTCAATATTCCTGACCTACCAAAAGCCACGGCCAAGCCCTGCCTATTTGAAACTGGCTTACTGTTAGGCAAAATTATCTGCCTCCACGCTGACTTTGTTACAAACCGTGGCTACCTCGTGTCATTTATTGAACCGACACACAACAGCAGCATGGTAGACAGAGTGGAGAAGAGTCCATTCAAAGACTATAGGTTGGCGATGTCTGTCCAGCTGGCCGTTAGCCCTTCATCTTCTTCATCATCGCCTCTGGCAGTTAGGAGGTCGGCAGAAGGAAGTCACAGAGTGCAGAAGGCCTGAGTCAGAGGCCCTGGCTCACAGTGGAAGCAGGCTCCTCAGAGGCCCAGGCCTCAGGGAAGAGACCAGAGAACAGACCATGCTCTTGTGACCACAGGCCTGTGCTAGGTCAGGGCAGGTAACTGTCACAAAGGTGAACAGAATGACCTCTTGGTTGATAGCACACCCACAGGATAGAGAGTTCTGGCCTGCAGACACCGAAGTCTCAAAAGTGATTTCCGGTCAATATACCTTTCCTCCCTGTAGAGGAAGAATAAATAGTGTGGCCTTCCTAAGGACCATGTAGTAATGTAGTTCAGGCTTTAGAAGGTCGCAAGCTTGCCTCAAATCCCAGAAATCACTGGGCTTGGTGTGAAGATCTGTCTGTAAGACAGTTGAGTGCAGAGAGGAGGCTTCCTAAAGGTAAGAGGCAGGCTGAGTCAGACACTATGGAGTCCTGAAGTGGAATATGATGCAGCCGTTAAAAATGACAAGGTCCTGAGTTCCAGTCCTCAGAGCCCACATAAAGGCTGGCGGAGCAGCCTGAGAACTGGGGAGACAAAGGCAGGAGGGTTCTGGGTACTTTCTGATCAGCCAGACTAGACTAATCAGTGAAACTCCAGGTTCAGTGAAAGACCCTCCCTCAAAATCTAAGGTTGAGTGACCCCCTTGTAAGATATCTCAGTTTAAAAGGCAGCCTGGCCGTCTACATTGGACCCTAGGGATTCACAAGGTAGGGACGACCTGACTCCTATAAGCTATCCTCTGACCCCGTGGCATGTGAGCCATACCAAGCACACAATTTTAAATAAGCTAATAAACTTAAAACACAATAAAAATAATAAGGTGGATAAGCAAACGAGAAAGACATTCAGCACACACACACAAACACACACACACACACACACACACACACACACACACTGAAGCTGTTAAGTAGTATTTGGGGAAAATGGAAAAATAATCAGAATGTCTTAGTTAGATGAGAACAGACTTCCAAACAGTGCATAGAATAATCCCTTTGGTACAATGTATCACGTATGGCTGAATTCTAGAAAAATCCATACATTCCTAAGAAGCATTCTCTATGTCTGGAGATGTAAACACAGTATTGATGACAGCTTGGGGGGAAGGGCGGAATGAGAGCATGGATGGTTATGCTTTTTGAAAACTTATTTCCTACACTTTCTAACATACATATGCATTATCTTGTAATCAGAAAATGTTATTAAAGGGGTGATTAACCGGTACAAAGTATCGCTAATGCAATCACCTGTAAATGACGAACTGAAGACACTTTGGACCTCCACATGGTGCTGTAACCCTCCTGGGTATTTATAGTCTGTTTTATGAGGCTCCTTGCTTGTGAATGTGGCGCCTGGGCTCTGGAATTCGGCTTCAAAAGGGAGTGGGTAGGGTGGCTGAGCCAGGCACTAATCCTGTTTGTTCAAAGAGAAATTGAAGACATTTTACTTAAGAAGAGGAGGAGGGGGAGGGGAAGAGGGAGGAAGAGGGAGAAGAAGAGGAAGGGGAAGGAGAAGGGGAAGAAGGAAGAGACCTGAGAGCATCTTAATTTGCTTGTGAATTGCAGTGTGAAAGCCAGCTTGGTCCCAACCTTCTTGTAATTTCATCTCTATGATCGGGAGAAGGAGCTCCTAGGAGGTGGGGCTGTGGAATCTCTGGTTCTGTGGCTCCCTCTCGGAGGAGAGCTGCTTTAGGAGAATCTGGGTGTGTCCAGCATCTTGAAGCGTTAAAGAAAGGCTGTCCTTTCTCTAAGATAAGGTGGTACAGAAGGCTCGCTCACCACAAGCCCAAGAGCAAGAGGGGTAGGGTAGGAGGCCACAGCATTTGCCCTTGATCCAGTGAGAACCGAACAAAGCCCAGAGCAGCCATGCACCTTTCTGGGTGGTGTCCAACCCGCTCTGGGATCTCAGTCCATACTTCAGTAACAGCAGGAGAATGAAGGTGATCTGATCGGCAGAACCAGGGAAAGGTGCTGGATGGCTAAGAAGTCCCAGATGCCGCTATGGTTCTTCCTTCTACATCTGTGATGCTAAGCTCCCACCTGCTGTAGCTGCTAGCTAGTGGGTTGGGGTTAAGTGGGAGGCTGGAAGTTAGGGAGTAGGTGTCCCAGTTTAACACGGAGTTGTCAACAAACTGTGATCAAGTTTCTCTTTCCTGCCCATCAGATTAGCTCATCTTCAGCCAGCCTGGGAGATGGGCTTTAGTCTATACGCCAAAGTCCTAAGACTCAAAGCCTGAACTCCGAACTACCCCTTAGCTGCATAAAACAGGAGCAGAGCAGGATTTATCCTGAATGATACCCAAGGGATGCAGATTCTAACACATGATGATGCTCTTGTCTTCCAGGCAAGCATGAAGAGAAGCAGCAGGAAGGTGGGATTGTCTCCAAGAACTTCACCAAGAAAATACAGTAAGTAGCCTTGCAGGTGGACTTTGGGCAGGCAGGCATTGCGATTGTGAGTGGAACCCAGCGTTCTTGGGAGACACACCTGGGCAAGGAATTGAGCTCTCATACCAAAAAGGGAAGAAGCTGTCATAGCAAGCCTTCAATAGGTGGACCCCAAGTAGGGGGTTAGAGTGTCATCTCATCAGCTCAGTGTCCTGTGAGGAGGGCATTGACCCCATCAGGGAACAGAGAGGCAAAATGATTCACACATCTTACACTGAGAACGGTAGTGGTCGTCCATCCAGGAGGATAGACAGGAGAGGGTATCGCCATCTAAGTTAGCCCCAGGCACTTGGAGCCTATTTGCTATGATAGACTCGTGTGTGTGTGTGTGTGTGTGTGTGTGTGGTATGTGTGCACACACGAACATGAGTGTCCATGTGCATGTGTGTGTGTGCATTCATGTGTATGCATACGTGTGTGTGTGTGCACATGCATATGTGTGTGTGCGTGCATGCATGTGTGCATGTTTCTGAAGTGCATGGCCCCTTGTGCTTGAACAGAGGTCAGCCACATTGTCTGCTCTGTTCACTTTCTCCCCCTGAGACAGTCTCTCACTGACCCTTGAGCAGGGCTAGTGGCCAGAAAGCCCACACCAGTCCTCCTGCCTCCCCCTCTCACAGCACTGGGGTCACAAGCATACATTGCCACGCCTGTTTTTCTCCATGAGTGCTGAGAATCTGAACTCAGATCCTCATGCTTACACACGGAGCCACCTCCCCGGCCCCTCCAAATAAGCTATCTTCCCCTACGGCTTAGATAATACCTATGTGCCTCAAAATACTGATTTACTGTGTCTGGTTTCCTGGGATCCCTCTCGCTAGCTGTGGAGGTTTGGAGGCTGAGACATTGTTCTAGAGGAAGGACCAGTTTGACTTAAGGGAGAGATTCTTGTTAGCGTCGGTCTTGTGAGAGCAGTAAGCAGGCAGCCAAGCTCAAAGAATGAAGCATGACCACATCCCCTAACTGGCAGTCCCCCTGTAGGGAGAGAAGAGTCCGTGGAGGATGCTGGCTGCATTAGAGGCTCAGGCGCCTGTCACGCTGTCTTTCCGGTCAGTATCAATCACTCGGTGTATGTCTGGCCCTGAGGTCTTTCTCAGCCATCCCCATCCCGACCTCTGTAGTGAACATATAAGACAGAAAGAAGATGTATTGCAAACCTCCCTCCGAGTATTCTGGAGAAAGTCAGTCTCCAGCAGGTGAAAGGGAAAGGCTGAGGTCTATAGTAAGGATTTAGCACCGCCCCAAACCGGTCTCTGATCTGTTTCCTCCACCTGCTAAAGGGATACTACTCCAGTATCCTTGCAGGTATTGGTAGATGTTCCTAGGGGGGGTCTCAGATGGGTGGTTTATTGCCACAGTTCTCGTGATTGTGTCTGAGCTCCGTACCGGCCCCAGCAAAGATGTCCTGGGTCAGAGAGACTGCACCAGCCGAAAAAGATTTCTTTCAGCAATGTGAGTCTGTATCTTGTACATTTCCCTGACCCCACCCCCACAGCCCCCACGGTTCTTGGAAGCCCTTGGAAACTTCCTGATAAGGCAAATACCAGCAAGTTTCTTCTTGCATTCACTGGCTTGCCTGAATCTGTGACCCTCACCTCTCCCTAGCTCAGCCTGCAGATCAAACAGAACTGAGAAGGGAGATCTGAGAAGGAGGGAGGGAGAGAGGAAGGGAGGAAGGGAGGGAGGGATGGAGGGAGGGAGGGAATGAGGGAGAATTCGAATGTTGCCTTCCAGAGGCCCAGACCCAGGTTCAGGACAGAATCACAAACAGGGCAGAGCTGAGAAAAAGATCCAGCAGGGAACCTGGTGAATCAGTCATCTTCAGAAATGTCCAGGGCATGAGGAGGGGTGTAGAAAGTAAGAGCGTCACTCTGTAAGTGGGAGGATCTCCAGCACCCATGTGCAAAGCCAGCCATGGCTTTACGTACCCACCTGTAGGCCTATTGTTGTGCAGCAGAGAAGGGCAGATCCCGAGCAGTCTAGTCACTGGGCAGCCAGCCTGGCTGGAATGTCGAGCTTCATGTGAGCCATCCCGCCTCAAGGGAACAAGGCAGAGAGTTACCACCACTGCATGAGAAAGACACCCGACGTCCTTCTCTGTCCTCCACATCACACACACACACACACACACACACACACACAAACACACACACAGAGAAAGACAGAGACAGAGACAGAGAGACAGAGACAGAGAGACAGACAGACAGAGAAGTCCAAAGCTGGACATGGTAGCTCACACCTGTAATCCCAGAACTCTGAAGGCTGAGACAGGAATATTGTCGTAAGTTTGAGGCCAACCTCAGCCAATATAGGCTATCTAGGGCTCCACAGTGAGACCCTGTTTCAGACAAAATGAAACACACCCATTTCCTTCGGATTTCCCTTCCTCTGAGGCCTCACAGGAAGCAGCTCTCTGGGAATTCAGTGAGTAGACAGAAATGCCTGAGGTTGCTGAAGAGGGTGTAGCTACTCAGCTGCTGGTGGGTGAGCTGCCTACACATCGACTGGCCAGAACCGCTGTGCCCCCTGTCCTCAGACTATGGGATGGTGCTGCCTACAGCAGGCTCTCCCCTCCCCCCACTCAATCCACTCTTCAACCTCCTTCTCTGAGGGCCAAACACCTTGGCAATCAAACTCTGTCACTGGGACCACCCAAACCTCCTTCCCTTACAACTGGAGGTCCCCAGGGTCTCCCTCTGACTGCACAGCATGCTCTACCCTCTGTGAATGGTCAGTGCCCAGTGTCCCCCTAACTCTTTTAGTATTTTGATTCCTACCCCAGGTGTAGAGAGCTTCCATATTAAGATAAAATTAATGAGGGTCACTTAGAACGACTCCGTAGCTGCTCCTAGCTTGCTTTCCCTCCCACGTGTGGCTGTGTGGGAGAGTTGGAGGGCTACAGTAAAGTGTTTGGAGGGGGGATTAATAGACAGATGGGGGATGTCAAGGCATCTGGCTGGAGACTGGGATAACCCTGGGCCAGATCCCCACAATAGATCCCGATGATGATGATGATGACGACGAAATCATTGTGAAATAATAATAATAATAATAATAATAATAATAATAATTGTTGTTGTTGTTAGATGTCCGTGCACAGCTTAGAACAGACAATACCAGACCAAATGGTTCCAAGGGGTGGGGTTTATTCGGGAGATAGGGCAAAGGTGGGGGGAGAGAAATAGAAGAAGATGGAGGAAGAGAGGAAGAAGAGAGAAGTAGAGGCCGGCCATGACCACGTGGAGAGAGGGGGAAGGGAAAGGGGGAGGGACAAGGGGACAGAGGGAAGCTAGAGGCAAGAGATCAAGAGACCAGGAGAGAAAGAGGAGGGGACAAGAAGCCCCTTTTAGAGTGGGCAGGCCTACCTGGCTGTTGCCAGGTAACTGTGGAGGTGGAGTTTAGACAGAATACTAACAATGATGACAACAACAATAACAACAACAATGCTGGAAAATTCCTGAGGAACAATACCCAAAGTTGAGCCCCGACCTCCACATGCTGTGTATGGGGAACCTAAATGTCTTTAGAGGACAGAAATATTCCTTTCTCTAAGCTTAGGGTCCTTAGGGGATCCCAGGTATGCAGAGTGGGAACTCACCTAAGCAGACACCTTGGACTTGGAAGTGTGCCTCAGAGGCCTGTTTGTGTTGGGTAGGAGAGACAGTTTGGAGGTGCCTAACAGGTTAGAGGCAGGCCCTTTTCTACCCCCAGCTTAAAGGAGAAAACAGGAAACAGGATGCAGGAAGTCATCCCGGAAGATGCTCAACACAGCACACTCTGTTCTTCTTGGCTCACAGCTCACGAGTATCTGGTCAGCCCCTGGTTGACGTCTGTGACTTGCAGTGGCCACGTTATGAGATATAGACTCAGACATTTAGAAAACCCCGAAGGAGAGGGAAAGGAGAAATCTGGGCACCTTGGTGGAGCTGGGGAACCTAAGGCTGAGTAGACAAAACACAGGGAGAGCAACTCTGCAGGGTTTGTGTGGATGCTCAGATAACCAGGCTCTTCAAGGGAGAGCATAAGACATGGCTGCCAGGGGTTGGAAATGAAAGGGAACCAGGGAGTTGGGAGCTGGGGAGATAGCTCTGTCTGTGTAGTGCTTGCCACACCCACACTGGAGAACCTGTGCCCCAGCCTCAAAACCCATGAAGAAATCCTAGCATGGTGACATGTGCTCATAATCCCCAGGCTGAGGAGGCAGAGGCAAGAGGTTACCTGGGATTTGCTGGTCAGACAGCCTAGCCTAATCAGGGAGTCCCTGATCCCCAGAATAGATCTCGATGATGATGGTGATGATGGTGATGATGGTGATGATGGTGATGATGGTGATGATG